CCATTGGCCCTGCCCTGAGTGTGACAGTGGCGGCGCCCCAACCCCCTGATCCGCCCTGCCCTGAGTGTGACAGGGGGCTGTGCCCCAACTCCCCTATCGGCCCTACTCTGTGAGTGACAGGATATGGAGTCCCAGCCCCCCAGATGGGCCCTGCTCTGTGCGTGACAGGGGGTGGCGCCGCAACCTCCCCATCGACCTTGCCTTGAGTGTGACGGGGGTGGTGCCCCAACCCCTTAATCGGCCCTACCCTGAGCATGACTGAGGGTGGCATTGCAACCTCCCAATCTGCCCTGCTCTGTGCATGACAGGGGGCGGCGCCCCAACTCCCCAATCGGCCCTGCTCTGAGCCCGACCAGGGGCTGCACCTAGGGATTGGGCCTGCCCTCTGCCACCCAGGAGCAGGCCTAAGCCAGCAGGTCGTTATCTCCCGAGGGGTCCCAGACTGCAAGAGGACACAGGCCAGTCTGAGGGACCCCCCCTTCTCCCGAGTGCACAAATTTTTGTGCACCGGGCCTCTAGTCTACACTAATAAAAGAGAAACATGGTAATTGGCGTACAATCGCTACCCTTCCCATTGGCTAATCGGCAAGATATGCAAATTAACTGGCAGCCAAGATGGCGGCCAGCAGCCAGGCAGCTGATGCGAACAGGGAGGCTTGCTTGCTTCAGTGATGGAGGACTCCAACGTTCCCAGCGGGGCTTCAGCCAGCCAGACCGCAACATTGTATCAAATACAGACGGTAAACAAAGGCCAGAAATCTGTTTTCAGCAGCCGAGGCCTCAGAGCTAAAGCTGGCCCAGAATAAAAAAAAAGAAAGAAAAAACGGAGCTGTTGGGAGCTTCAGTCCCAGCCTGAAAACAGCCCTCAGCCCCTCACCCAGGCTGGCCAGGCACCCCAGTGGGGTCCCCCACCCTGAAGGATGTGTGACCAGCTGCAAACAGCCATCATCCCCTCAGCCATACTGGCTAGGCACCCCAGTGGGGACCTCCACCCTGATCCAGGACACCCTTCAGGGCAAACCAGCCAGCCCCACCCATGCACCAGGCCTCTATTCTATATAGTAAAAGGGTAATATGCCTCCCAGCACTGGGATCAGCGTGACAGGGGGCAGCGCCCAAACCCCCTGATTGCCCTGCAGCTCTGTGTGTGACAGGGGGCGGGGCCCCAACCCCCTGCCCTCCACGGGCCCTGCTCTGTGTGTGTGACAGGGTAGAGCCATAACCTCCCCATTGGCCCTGCCCTGAGTATGAGAGTGGAGGCACCCCAACTCCATGATTGGCCCTGCTCTGTGGGTGTTAGAGGGCGGCGCCCCAACCCCCCTCCCCCCACGGGCCCTGCTCTGTGTGTGATGGGGTAGAGCCATAACCTCCCCAGTGGCCCTGCCCTAAGTATGAGAGTGGTGGCGCCCCAACCCCCTGATTGGCCCTGCTCTGTGGGTGATAGAGGGCGGCGCCCCAACCCCCTGATCTGCCCTTCCCTGAGTGTAACAGGGGGCAGTGCCCCAACTCCCCTATCGGCCCTACTCTGTGAGTGACAGGGGGGAGCTCCCCAACCCCCTGATGGGCCCTGCTCTGTGCGTGACAGAGGGCAGCACTCCAACCCCCGGATTGGCCCTGCTCTGTGTGTGACGGGGTGGCGCTGCAACCTCCCCATGGACCCTGCCTTGAGTGTGACAATGGGCGGTGCCCCTACCCCTTAATCAGCCCTACCCTGAGCATGACTGAGGGTGGCATCACAACCTCCCAATCTGCCCTGCTCTGTGCATGACAGGGGAAGGCACCCCAACTCCCCAATAGGGCCTGCTCTGAGCCCGACCAGGGGCTGCACCTAGGGATTGGGCCTGCCCTCTGCCACCTGGGAGCAGGCCTAAGCCAGCAGGTCGTTATCTCCCGAGGGGTCCCAGACTGCGAGCGGGCACAAGCCAGGCTGAGCCCCCCCCCCCCTTCTCCCGAGGGCACAAATTTTTGTGCACCGGGCCTCTAGTTTTATTATAATTGAGACATCAAAATTTCTCTTTTGCCAGAAAAATAGGGAAGAATACAGGATCTTTCTTTTTCTATATCCAACTAGTAAATCATACACCACTTTTAAAAGTGTACCTATTTTTTTTAAAGGGTGAGCTACGTAGAACCAGGCTGTGTTTCGTAGAAATGATTTTTAAAAACAAGTTTTAAATAAATATTATGTGCTTGGCACTAGTCTAATTTTTTGTAATGCATTTGCTCATTTAATCCTAGCAATATACCCTGTAATATAGTTGCTGTTCTTTTTCTCCATTTTATGGATCAAAAATGTGAGGCACAGAGAATGAACTGAGGTGTGTGTACCAACCCCCTTGTTTTAACAGTGAAAACACAGTAAATGAGCTAGACTCAGGCTCCTGGTTCTTTTTAAGGAATTTACATGGTGTTTCTTCAAACAAACCTTGTGATTTATAAACTTGACCTAGCCATCTGTCAGAATGGAGTCCCTGCTGTCCCTGACTTCCATATGTGCCTAAGGAAGAGCCCCCTGGGACAGTGGTTAGTCACACACATACTCTGTGTTTCTAACAGCTTCTGGCCAGAGGTAAGACAGCTTTTCTCTTGTGTGTATTTTATTGAAGTGGTGGCATATCACTGTTGACCTCCTATTCCTGTTTTGTCCTTCAAAATGAAATTTTAGCTTTCAGAATTACTCCGAAGGACACAGGCACTGTTTCATTTGTGGAGTGTAGGTGCTGACACACAGAGGTTCAGCTGCCTTTCCTCCCTATTGGTTGTTGCTGAAAATTATGACTGAAAAGTTGAAGAGTTACTTCTCATTTTCCTCAGTTTCTTTGTGTTCTTGTATCTAAAATATTAGGGCAAAAACTTATTAAAATTGCTTATTAGTCTCTTTTTCTTCTCTTCTAAATCTAATCTGAATCACTTTTAGATTCTCAATTTCTGGGTTAACTTAAGTTATTTAGTCAATCAGAAATGCATTTTAGTTATTTTTAAAATAAAAATACAGAATATATACAAATAAAACTACAAACACTTTGAAAATACAGTGTAAGTTTTACAGAAAATTGTGTTGTTAGCTGAATTCCAGAACTTCTTAGGCTGGAATGTAAATATCATGTCTTTGTTGTTGGATATTATGGAAACTGCAAAACTGGCTAGTTTTAAAAATGCTATGTTCCTAAATTGGAAAGATTTGATCATATGAAGTTTAATCGGTCCTTCCAGAGAATACTTAGTGTTGCAACTTATTTTAACTTCAAATTTTGAAGTTAAAATTAATTTGTGGAATTTTTAAAGAATATTCAAATAACAGTCATAATTTTTAATTTTAAAATAAGTCATATGGAATTGCAGCAATGGGAGGATCCTTCCCTATATTTCTTACCAGATAAATTATTTTCTGCTGGGGGAAACAGGAAATCAGAAATCCCTTAAATATGAGATGTGACTCTAAAATGATATTACTTGAAACAGATAACAAGTAAAAAATTACGCAAGCATTTGAACACTGTCCTCTGAAAAATGGTTATCTTGAGAGACTAAAGGCTTATTTGAATGACTAGAGGCCCGGTGCACGAATTTGTGCAGGGGTGGGGCCAGGTCAGTTTAGGGGAGGGGCCGCAGGCGGTTGGCCAGCCAGCCCCGCCCCTAATCATGGTAGGGGAGCCAATCGGGGGTGGGGCTGTCCAGGGTGGACCGGCAGGCTATTGGCAGGCCACCCCTGCCTCAATCAGGGACGGGGCTAGTCAGGGGGAGGAGCCATGGATGGTTGGCCATCCAGCCCCACCCCCTGGTTGAACTCCAGGTCAAACTCCCGGTCGAGGGGCCAATTTGCATATTAGCCTTTTATTATATAGGATATCATTTTAAGAACATTTTGGAGTGACTTCTTATTGCCTTGAGAACTAGCAGCACAGTTTTTGTGTCAGTCTTCACTCTTTGAAAGTGGATTTGACTTATGATACAGTCAAAGGTCATGTGCAAACTAGTTGGGTGAGACTCATTGGCACCACACTTAGAGAATATGCTAAAAATGTAAAGTAATGAGCTCAGCTAATTAAGAAAGTAATTCTTGAAATTCTTCTAAAAGTGGTGTTCCAAGGATGTTTTGACCAGTGGAGGTATCTTTTCAATGGGGTATGAGGTCTTGCGGGGGGCAGTACCTACACCCTCTGTTGTCTTAGACGCTCTCTCCACTGGCTTTGCATCCCTTACTGCTGAAACTGAGCCTTGCATTACTCTATTGTCCCATATCCACTCACTGCTTGGGCCCCATTTGGTGCCTTTTGACTCCCCAGGGCATTTTGGGGGCCTACAGTTGTTCCCAGTGCTTGGACTCATCCTGTTGTCACCTGTTCCTATTCGTACCTCGCTTGCTCTCACTGAGATGAGGCTCTCTCCCCAGAGCAGCTCCGAGCTTCCATGCTTCTTTAATACTGTGGAGGTTACACGACTCACACCCCTGCACCATTGTTTTACATATTCCCCATCACACATTCCTTATGGAATTCAGTTATATGGCTGTATATGGCATAACCACATTATTTCCTCTTAGCGTTAACTCCTGTTAACATTTTTGTTACCTTTGCTGCAACTATTTTTAAAGACACATTTTTATTTTGTTTAACAAATAAAATGTTAATTATACCACAAAAGCCCCTCCCACCCAATCCCTTCCTTTCTCCTCTCGCCCTCCACAGAGGGAACCCCCCCATTGGAGTCTCTTGGGATCATGCTCATGCAAGTGCATAATATCTTATGTGAACTTCTGGAGCCTGCTACAAATTAATTTGGAATTAATGTTCACATTTTAGAAAGGTAACATGATCCCTGTACTGTACACAACAGCCCAGCAGCAACTGGCCCAGCAGCTCATAATCAAATATATTAAATTTCTACAGCAACCTGAGTCAACATTCACACTAAGTGGATTAAATACATATTTCTAAGTAGCTTGCCATCCGTTCAGTTGATGCTTTGCCATCAAAGGGGATTACTATACACTTATGAATTAACTTATGGGTTTTGGGGTTTTGAAATCTTAGATACAGAATTATGGACCTGGATTTACCTTTGAGATATATGTACAGATTCTTAATTCTCTTTTTCTGTTTGTTAATTTCCTTATTTTTGCTTTTATCACAGCTGCTTCTCTCCTGCTTGGGTTTTTATTCTTTTGCCTATTTCTTGAGTTGTTGTGTGTGGTTGTTTTTTTCATAGTGAAGGGTTTAAAGGTTGTGCCTGTGCTTTCTGAATGGAGTTACGGTTTATCTCATAAACCTGTCTAGTAGTGTTCTCATTTTAATGGTTTATAAAATGATCTCATTACATTAGAAAAATCTCTATCTCTGTATGTACTTGGTACAGTGGTCTATAATTTCCGGGTATCGGGATATTTTTAAGCTCTAGTCACTCATTTCTAGTGTCACTGCATTGCGATTTCAGTGTTTATGAAGTGTGCTTTTAACCTAATGACTTTTTTAAATGAAAAATAGCCTATTATAACTGAATTTTTAAAAGAGTGGTATCTTTCCAAATATGTTTATTCTAACCATGTTTCTATTATTCAAAAATTTCTCAATCTCTTGCTAGAATTGCTTACAAAGTCCATCATCCAGTAAAAACATCAGTCTCTGTTTTATAGTTTTATTCTTCAGATTGATTAAAAGCAGTGTGGTTTAACCATTCACCTTTTCTACCTTTCCTCGCTCCAAGTATTAAATGAACATTTTCAAAGAGTAAATCTAACCTCAAGGGATTTAAAACTCACCACCACTTAAACTATTAAAAAAAATAATGGTCTTAGTCAAAGAAAAAAGGGGGGAAAAATCCAGTTTTTAAAACAATGGCATTATTGAGAAAAGAATCTTTCTTTGTTCCTTTTTTCACCCAGGACACATACAGTGGTAGTTGCATCAAAGGGCAGCATGCTTTGTAAAGAGTTCTCAGTTCCTAATTTATGATCATACATCATACAAGTCACAGTCACAGTGCTTGATTATAAGCCACAGTAGACATAAGTGTACTGTACTCCATTGAGAGCTAATCTGTCTCTTAATGCACCCAAATTCTCATTGCAATTGTTACTGTCTTGCTTTGGCTTTGACTGGGTCCTATCCATTTTCAGAGCCTGGGTTTTCTCCAGAGAGAAAACTCTTTGGGGAAATCATCTTAATAGACCAATGAGATGAAATATAGAAACCTTTTTGACCTCCCAGATAAAGTATTAAGGTGTTATCATGTAGGCAGTAGTTATTTATAACATGAAAAGGAAACAGTATAAAATGATGGGATATCAAGCTTTAATGCTTACACACACACACACACACACACACACACACATTGAAAGACATTTTTTAATTGAATTTATTTGGACTTATGTTTGTTAATAACATTATATAAGTGTAATGGGTATAATTCTATAGCACATAGTCTGTATATTGTATTGTGTGTTCATCATCCCAAGTCATGTCTTCTTCCATCACCATTTATCCCCCCCACCCCCTACTGTTCTTAAGGTAGTCACATAACTTCTCTCTGGTTTGTTTTAGTCATCCTGTTCCTCCCAGGAGAAGTTGCACCAGTTACCATACCAACCAACGCCAGATGAATTACACTTCTTATCGAAACATTTTTGTACTACCGAAAGCATCGCCACGGAGAACAGATGCAGGAACACCCCTATGCGCCCCCGTTCCCGAAGTCTGAGGTGTGTAGACCCAATTGAAAAATGTTCCTTAATTGGATTGCCTCTTTTCAATCCTTTCAAGGGAAGACTTTTGGTCCTGTAATTCATGTATGCTTTCATTGATTTGTGAACTGCTATAACTATAGTGTGATTTTCCCATCTGCACAGGATGTTGTTAATTACCATTGAAAGAGGTCATATTATTTTTCTTTTAAATTCTTACAATGCCTACAAATTGCTGTAGTAGCAGTAATGACAGTGGCTAAAGGATCTGTAAGACCTTCTAGCCTTTGGAAATTTCAAGATGATCGAATTATGGTACAAGAGGAGTTAATAATTTAAGAGGGAGAAGTTGGGCTGAAAGGGAAGGCAACACATTGAGATTCACATGTGGTATTTAGATTCTACATTACAAAAGCCCTCCGAGATCTTTTGTTCTTTTTCTCCAGGATTTTGAACAAACTGTTAGCAGTCTGTGTCCCTTGAATTTTGTGGATGCCCAATGTAGTTCAAATTTTTTGACAAAAAAAGTAGAGCCAGTTTTATTTTGACCTTATTTCAAAAGTCACAGTTTGATGGTTGAGGAAGCAGACTCTAAAGCAGAGATCGGGATGTTTATGAGGAGTCCTCCCTGCGGGAGGAGGTGGAGCAGCATGGGGCACAGGGAGATGTGTAGTTGCCACACAGGCCCACAGTGTAGCTGATCCCACAGGGAGCCCTGGGGTGACATGACCCCTCGGAGTTGTACCTCCAGGCCCAACGGCCCTTCCTTTACATCTCCACCTCAGTCGCTGGACGTACTCCCCTGAAAAGGGCATGGCCTTGGGTGAGGTGACTCTGAAGCTGAGGCCATCGCTAAGGGGACCAACCCCTGGCCCAGCAACTGCAGGGGGTTTGGGCAGCCATCTCTGGGTCCAGCAAGTACCAGATCTGATGGTATAGAATTGGTGCACTTTGACATATTAAGTTTTTATTATAAAAGAATATTTTGTCAGGAGTACAATTGAATATTAAAGGTAGGGTATTTTTCCCTCTGTATCCTTCATATTTAGTGTCATAAACTGATAATATCACCACATTTGGTAATTGTAGGATGTGTTAGAATATTTTGAGATACAGAATAAAAGACTAATTTTATGCCTGCATCGAATGACATTGCATGTTACTACACAGCTGCCCTTTAGTTTTATGAAAGGAGTTTCTAGGATCTCTAGTGCAAACGATGTCCTCCTGGGCATGTAAATACTCACACGGAAGTTGCACAACTACATACCACTAAGAAGGAACACAGACCAGCTACTGAAATAAAGAAAAACGACCACAGTTGTATGCCTGTTTCATATTGTACATAGCGCCCACCTTGGCATCCCAGATAAATGTTTGCTAGGCTAGAAAATGGATTTCAGTGCTGACACCTGTGCGTGGAAGGCTCCTAACCCTCTTCAGTGGGCCGTGGCAGAGCGCAGGTGTATGATGAAAGTGTGAAATTAGACACTTCCACATGGACTTGAGGTTGTTTTTGTGGCCACCCTAACTGCTTTTATAGTGCAGTTCACTAACTGGTTTCCCGAACTCATGCACAAGTGCATGCTCCGTACAGAATATAAACTCAATTTAAGACTGTTTCCTTAGTTATGCAGTGCAGCTGTAATTAATATGTGGCATTCCACTTCTCGAACTTGCTTGTCGAATCCTCATGAGGATGTCTCTATGTTTGTGGGCAGGTGTGTGTGCACTAATGAATGATTTTGTAGTTTAGTACCTAATACGTTTATTTGTGTTTTTTTTTTTAACAAAGGTTGCATAGTACTTTTGATGCAACCAATTGTTTATAAATAAAAGGCTTATTTTCATTTCACGCTGTGGCAAGTTTAAAAGGGTAATTTGCTTTGCTTGCAGCCCTGGACGTTCTCCCGCCTGCTGTGACCATGAAATAATTATGATGAACCATGTCTACAAAGAAAGGTTCCCAAAGGTAATGAGTTGAATTGAAGGTGCCTGGCATTGGAACAAACAGGCACCGCAGGTTTAGTGTCCGTAAGGTGGTTGTAAGGGATGGAATGGTTCAATCTAGAAATGACCTGCATACAACAGCACAGCCTCCTTAGAAAGATGGAATCACTAAACATGTTTACAAACTGCTGAGAGCTAGCCACACAGTCTGGTGCTGAAGTGGCCCCAAGTGAGCCCTGCTGTTGTAGCACCACTGGGGCCTCTCGCCCCTGGTGCTCTCCGTGCCCATGCTCTGGGCCCGCAGTCTTGTTAAGCAGAGACTGTGTTCTTCCTTAGAAGCCTGGTATGTCATGGAAATCTTTTTTTTTTTTAGCCTAATGTTTTGTTTTTATGACTTCGTATCTCTGTACCAATTACATATCTAACCTTAATAGTGCCATGTTCCCCATTAGAGTGGCTAAAGGAATTTTTTAAATAAAATGTTTGTTTGTTTTTCATTTTAGAGAGAGAGGAAGGGAGAGGGAGAGAGAAACATTGATGTGAGAGTAAAACATTGATCTGCTGCCTCCTGCACACCCCCTACTGGAGATCGACCATGCAACCGGGGCATGTGCCCTGACCAGAATCAAACCCGAAGGCTCTTGGTGTGTGGGACAGAGCTCAATTAACCAAGTCACACCGGCCAGGGCTTGCAAAAGGGATTTGAACTGAGCCTGAGAGGCCTGGATCAATGGTTGTTGCCAGGCACCCTGGCTGTAAGAAGCTGCTGTCTGGTAGTTTCTGACACCTCATTTCCACAGCTTTTCCACCAAAGTGTCCTGCACATGTGGGAGAACGCAATTTATTTCTCCGTTTTGTCACTTTTCCTCCCCGCCCCCCCACCCGCTACCGTTACAGCCCTGGGCAAGAGAACAAAAGGAAATCTTTGGTTTCATAGATCAGGAGTAGAGTACTTATTTTTGTAATGAACCCAACATTGATGCCATTGATTAAAGCTATTTCAGCTATTTATCACATGTCACTTGTTTCCCAGGGAAGCGGGTCCTGACTGCAGTTAATATGGGTTAGGACTTCAGACGGGGCAGGAGGCAGAGGAAACCTCCCTGATTAGGCAGCCAACAGTGAGGAGTATTGACTAGGCAATGGGGCATCACAGGCAAGGAAATGGACGTTGGAAAGGACATTGTAGATTTACGTTACCAAGGGAACCCCCTTGGCCTTTTGCACATGTCACGCAGCGTTTTGAGGAAAGGATCAAGGTGGTGTAAGATGCTGGCTCCTGGTACATGAAAACAGCCGAGGACACACTTGGCCTGCCCTGTGGGGCTCCAGTGACAGTCCCGATGGTGGAATAGGTAGAAACAGAACCATTCGATGCTTTTGACAGTGTCTTTAAAAGAACTGAAGATCTGAAATGAAAGCATAACATTTCACAGACAGTAAGTTACCTGAAGAAGGTTACATGGGCCATTTTACATGGGCATAGGAAAAAAGCAATTATTGCCCTGGGACGTTCAGTTTCCCTTCCATACCTCAGATCTTTCTTCCACATGGTGTGACCTCTTTTTTTTTTTTTTTTCAAATGACTGTTTTTTTAGGGCAGTTTTCAGTTCACTGCAAAATTGAGCAGAAAGTACAGAGTTCCCAAATACTCCCTGACCCCACATATGCACAACCCCCTCCCATCAATATCCCCCACCACAGTAGCCCCTTAGTTACAAAGGATGAACCTGCAAGGTCACCTCATCATCACCTAAAGCCCATACTTTATGTCAGGGTTCACTCTCCGTGCTGTGCATTCCACGGGCTTTGAGGAATGTATGGTGACGTGCGCACCAGTATAGTATCATTCAGAAACGAGGCTTCTTTCGAATTTAATTTCTAGAATTATCTTTAAAAACTTGAGGAAGTCTCTGAAAATGCAAGAGAAGCGTGATGATAGAATTGTCCAGATGTGTGTTTTCTTGTTACATCTGTGTGTGCACATCTTCTCTAAACAGGCCACCGCGCAGATGGAAGACCGTCTGACGGACATCATCACCAGCTACTCCCCTGACCACGTGCTCCCCCTGGCAGATGGGGTGCTCAGTTTCACTCACCACCAGATTATTGAGCTGGCTCGAGATTGCTTGGATAAATCCCACCAGGGCCTCATCACATCACGATACTTCCTTGAATTGCAGCACAAATTAGATAAGTTGCTACAGGAGGTAAGGACCATGTGGCATATAGAGTTTGCTGACTTATTTTGCCTTTCCCCTGGAAAAAAAAATTTTTATGAGAGCATTTGCTTAACGAGTTTTAACCGTGCGATGGAGTTCATATTCCAGGGAAGCAAAAAAGAAGCAGGGAAAAAATACCACCTGATTGCTACTTGCCATAAATGGATTCCGGTCCTCATTTATAGTAATAGAAAGTTAATGTAATAACCTTTACAGAAACCTTGGGACCCAACAGCTCATGGCTCCAGGATAAGTGGATTGTGAAGGATTTTGAAGCAGTGATTCCCCCCCATCCCTTAGCCATAACATTATAAATTGCCTGAGTGCATGTGTGTTATTTGATGATGCTATCTAGTTCTAATATCTGGAAAAGCTAAATGGAAAATTGCTGCCTTCTTCCAGGCTATTGTGTCCTATTAATTAACCTGCATGTGGCATTGGGTGGTAAATGGCAACTTAGATTTTCATTAGTGTCAGTTCTTCTTCTAACGAAATATCCAATTTCCAAAATGATAGGTAAACACAGGGCTTGTCTAGGTCTAACTCCTGCAGGCCTCACTCCTGATAATCCCCGGGACCGGAAGGGAGTGTGCACAGTGGAATGGCATTAGTGCTTAATGTTGCTATTCTGATTGAAATTGATAAGCCTCAGCCTACAAGTAAAACCTATTTAGCCTATATAGTAGGGTATATTGTATTTCTGTATCTCATAGGGAATAAATTATGCCCATGTAAACATAATCGAAGATGGTTTTCTGTAAGTATGAATATGTGAATAATTGCATGAAGCTGAAGGAAAATATTAGCATCTTAGTTATCTAGAAATACATCGTCCTTGCCCCTACCGAATTTAGTTGTGGCAAGATGAGAAGATCCCTCTCTGGGTAGCAGCTATTTTATCCCCTCTCCCATCCTAATCTCCCAACTGAGTTTTCTGATCTCTGTTCCCATTTCTCACATTCCACCCTATTGCAACCACTAAGGCAGTGTTTCTCAGACTGACTTTGGGGATAAACACATTGTTTTATTTTATTTTTTAATTTTTGCTGTTAATTTCCAATTTGATATGGACCAATTCTCCTATAAATTAAAATGAAAATTAATTTACAGGCAAATGATCATGCATTTGGGTTCCAGCCGTGGAGAATGGCTGTAAGGGTTGCTAAATGCTTAGTCTCAGTAATTGCACTTCTCTCCTCACAGACTGATAACGGCTCGTGGACTGGCCCCAGTCTTCAGGCCCCCATTTGTGTAGCACTGCACTAGGTCATCATGTCTGTGTGGGCAGAGATATTGTCTGTTACATTCACCTAGGATAAGGTGCGACACAGTGGGGACTCAGTCCACATGTGCAGAATAACTGGCTTCTGACTCACTCTCACTAAACTCACTGATATGAGTTCAAATCCTCCCTCCTGTTCTTTTACCAGGCTCAGGCCCTCGTCCTCACTGGTCTGCCCCCTTCTATTCCTCACCCCTCAAATTCATACTTCTGTGCAACTGCAAGAACATCTATCTAACAACCTTTAGTGGCCCCATTCTGCCTACAATTAAAAACCATAACGTGGCCTGTGTCACTCTCCTCATCTCATACATTTAACCACAATACACTATATTGATCTGTTTGGAGGCCTCAGTTCACCAGCATGCCATGGACTCTTTGAGGGACAAGGATCGCCCTCAAATTATCTCTAACTCCCTGGTACCTGGCCCCAGGCTTGATGTTTACTTGGCTCTTCAGTAACTGGGAGGGAGGCAGGTGAGAGGAAGAGGATGCATGTGTATGCATGCCAAAATATCCCGTCCGTTCTGATCTGTTGTCAGGTAATCTAATTCTGCTGTTCCTTTTAATTAAGTCAACTTCTAGAAAATGCAGGAAACACTATACATGTTACTTTTATGAGAATACCTTAAAAATTATATTTGTTGCCCTGACCAGTTTGGCTCAGTGGATAGAGTGTTGGTCTGCAGACTCAAGGGTCCCGGGTTCGATTCCAGTCAAGGGCATGTACCTTGGTTGCGGGCACATCCCTAGTAGGGAGTGTGCAGGAGGCAGCTGATCAATGTTTCTCTCTCATCGATGTTTCTAACTCCCTATCGCTCTCCCTTCCTCTCTGTAAAAAATCAATAAGATATATTAAAAAAAATAAAAATAAATAAAAATTATATTTGTTAAATGGAGACTTTCTAAACAGAAGAGACCTCTGCACGATACTCTTTCTAAATTCCATGTTCTGTCCCAAGAGGTTGTTATAATTACCAGCTTAGTCCTGTTTTTCCTTCCTTCATGGACATTCCCCCAAAAGGGTACAATCAATACAAAAAGTGACTTACACTGAAATCTTTCACTTAATTTTGTTTCTGTATGAGAGATCTGACGGATTGTTTGTGACAATTAAAAAATCTTAGGGTTCCAAAAATCACCGGAATGGACCACATAATAAATAAAAAAAATGTTGATTTTTAGAGAAATTTCTTTTTGGGGGCAGAGAAGCATGTGTACTTGTGGTATAAAGGGCATTGTTGGGTCTGAATAAAAATGTTTTCTTATTTATCTTGACAGATAAACATTTCCTTCAGTCCTTTTGTGAAAATCAGAACTATCTTCACAATCACATTCACAATGTCCTTTCAGAGTTTGGCGCTAAAAGGTCACAGGGAATTGTGGGGACTTGCTTTGCCTTCCCCACGATGCGATGTTGTCAGTTCCCAGCTGTGACATTGTGTGCCTGCCTGGCTCGCCTCCCAGCCGCTTTCCCATTGTCAATCTCTTGCATACCCAAACCAGGTCTCCCTGGGTTTGGATAGCTTGATTTAACTGATGCCTTTTAAAGTACTGACATCTAGGTCAGTTCCTGATAAATGCTTTTATGTCTCCATTCTTTTTTTCTTTTTTCACTTAGGTGTACTTAGCCAAAGAAAATGAAATACATAGGAAGCTATAACCTGCTCTCAAATCTGGGTCTCAGTATTTTTTACAGTGGCCAACACTTAAATACAAACACAGGTATCAGTAAGCATTGGAGCTTGTTACTGGCAGCCAAGAATATATTATTCTTCTCATGCTGTGTGTATGGTTCTGATTAGAGTTATTTTAACGAAGCTTCCCCATTCCTCCTCGATAATGTTAGGAGATAAAATATTATCTGAGTTAATATAACCCATGGTATGTTTTGGCCTTATTATGGCTGATAATTCTTAGAAGTAAGAATGAATGGATTATTCCAGTTTTTAAAATGGAATTTGTATAATCTAAACTGAATATTTAAAAAAAATTTAAGATATAGAATTCTTATTTCTCTCTGAAGAGACTAACAAAATATGCAGACTTTTTAGATTTTTTTTTTTTTTGCATTTCTGAATTTATAAAGCAGTAACTATTAGAGTATCAAGCCCAAATTGTCAATCAGAAAGTTAGGTGGTGGCACTAGCTGTTTTGGTTCAGTGGATAGAGTGTCAGCCTGCGGACTGAAGGGTCCTGGGTTCGATTCCAGTCAAAGGCACATGCCTGGGTTGCTTTTTAAAAAGTTAGGTGGGGCCTAGCTGGTGTGGCTTAGTGGTTGAGTGTTTACCTATGAACCAGGAGGTCATGCTTCAATTCCCAGTCAGGGCATATGTCCAGGTTGTGAACTCGATCCTCAATGTGGGGCATGCAGGAAGCAACCAATCTATGGTTATCTCTCATCATTGATGATACTCCCCCCCCCCCTCTCTCTTCCCTTTTCTTACACTCTGAAATCAATAAAAATACATTTTTTAAAAAGTTAGGTGGTAATGTTTTATTTTATCTTAAGGGTAAACTATAAAGAAGATGTATAACCACATTTCTTGGCACTCATTATATCTTCCAAAATCTTTTTATTGTAAAACAAAAATTGGAAAGAAAACTTAAAGATAGCTTAAATATTATGTATATCTCCTTATGTATGTTTCAGCAGTCTTACTGGTTACCAGGACCTATAGTTATAGTTACTAGTTGGTTTGCTTTGAACACATTCTATTCTAACACTATTCACCAATGGTCTTTTTTTGGGGGGTGGGGGTGGTTAATGTTAGCTGTTTTGCTTTTGCTAGTATATGATTTTTGTACCTACATTTTAGGAAGTTGCCTTTGGTTTGGTGGCTTAAATTCAATAATCATATTACTGCTAAATAGAACCATTTTTCAAATATAACCAATTCTGTTTAAGGGAAGGCTGATTTTTGTCAGAATTAAGCACCTTCAGTAATGATTTTAAATGCGTATTACTATGCCTGTGCAATTATATTCTGTTGTACCAGCATCACCTTGATTTTTTAATCCTTAGAAGAAAGTAAATCATAAAAATTTTAAAATAAAAATTTTAAAATAAAAATCATAAAAATTTTAAAATAAAAAAGCCTAAAAGTAAACATGCACAGAAGTTTACATTTAAACTTTTTAAACTTTCATTTTAGGTCTCCTTTGATACAGATTTACCTAATTTCTTCAAGAAAATGTCATTGAAAATTAAAATGATTCTAAATAAACAGAGTTTTGTCCTGAGGCTATTTGTTGCGCATAGACTGCACATGTAGGCGACATGCGGAATAAAATTTTAAAAGACTTTAAGTCGGTTAAATTTTATTGAGTTCCGTGGCTAGGTACTATTTATTCAGTATGTGAAATCGAAATCATATGTATCTATCCAAGTTTAAACCGTATCCACCTAATATTGGGAAAAAGAAATGCACAATTTTTTTACATGTTATGAAATAACTAATGTATAGACTAGACATATTGTGTACGTAAAATGTCTTTTGAGACTGTGTTAAATACCCATCGTCTGGGTTACAAAAGTGGTCCTTCACTCACTCTGTTAGCTGTTTCCTACACGTAAGATGTTACATCTGGAAAATCAGATTCCTTGGCAACTGCCCACTCTACTTGTACCACAGACTTAATGTGTCATAAACTTTTAATGTCTTCTTCCTTCATGGTTCACAGTAGGGGCCCTAATATTTGATTTTTAACAGAGAGAATTAATCAAAGGTTTGCAATTAAAATTTAGCTAAGAGAGCCATTTTGGAGATATAGAAGTTTAATAGTGTCCATTTATGTAGAGCTAATGTCCACTTATCAATCTTTTAAAAGTATTTTCTAAATCGCTTAATGTTTGAATATTTGCAATTATCTAATTAGCATGCTTTGCTGCGTTTCTTTTCTGTTTAATGGAGCAACTCTGTGTCATCATTCTTTCTCATAGGCTCATGAACGTTCAGAAAGTAGTGAACTGGCTTTCATCAAACAACTAGTCCGAAAGATCCTGATCGTTATCGCCCGCCCCGCGCGGTTACTGGAGTGCCTGGTAAGTTGCCTCTAGAGGTGACTCCATTATTTACTGTTAACTGTGGAAGAGCCATGACCGTCAGCTCCAATTCCCTTTGGCTCCAAAGACCAGCGCTGAACAGAGTCCATGGGAACTATAATTTATGATGACATCCACGTGTGACGTGTTTTCTGGCATTAAGTAAGAATTCGAGGACTTGTGCTGTAGTAAGTGATAGTCATATCACATTCTGACCAAACTTAACAGCTGAACGTGAAATACGTGCCACACCCTATCTCAGTGTAATACTCTGTTACCGCTGATTTACATTCTTGCTGAGCCTCACTTTTTGGGTGTTGATGCAAAGAAACAGAAATGAGAGGTCTGATACACGCTAACCTGTGGTTATAATTATTATTTGTTTGTTAAAATTTGGCATGTTAGAAATATGTTCTAGTCAGCAGCCCATATGGGAGAACGCAATAGGACCTCATCCAGGTCTGAAGACATGACTTAGAGTTTAGTTCATTTCATCAGTTTGTTTGTTTTTTGTTTTTGTTTTTGTTTTGGTCAGTGATTATTTTTCTGTTTTAAAATTTCTGTTTTATGTAATTCTCATGGAGATTTTATGAAACACTGAACAAATACGAAGCTTTGAACATAAGAATGGTTTTTAAAAGAGCTTAGCATACTATGAACATTAACTTTTAATTGCACTAGCCATTAAAACATTTTATAACTCAGTGTACAATACAACTTTTCAGAATTATACATACCCCCTCACCACACACATATTAACATTCAAAGCTTTCTGTAATAGTGACATGTTCACAGCCTCATTAATAAATACAAATGCATAGTGAGACGTGGCAGGGAAGACACCTTGAGAAAGGTGGGGGAATTGGGATGAGACCTCTCCATCGATGGCCAGGAGCCTTAGAGCCACAGAATCAAAAGGACCACTTGGCATTGAGTGGTCCTTGGAAAGATAAAGGGGCAAAAGGACTGATGCCTCGGGAGAGGAGGAACTTGTGTGACTGGCAGATGTGGTTGAAGAAAGACCTGTTATTCATTCTTCCAGTGAACCTTGTGCACCACATGCGCGTACCTCCTGCAGTGACTTAATTTGGGGGGAAATACCATTTAGCATAAAAACTCGTTTCTCTGGACAGCTGCAGATAGGCTCAGTGGAGATCTGGCCTTAGAAAGGAAATGAATCCTTTACAGTAATCACTCCTAATCAGAAGAGAGAGAGTAAAAGCATAGCCTCTCAAAGATAGAAACAAGTGAACGCAGAAGTAGACTTAAAAATGTTGCTTTCAGAACTGTTGAAAGTTCAGCTGAAACTGGGATTTCTGAATTTTCAGGATGTGTCTCTCACCAGTGGTCTTGTCTGCCAGTGGCTCTCACCAGTGGTCTTGTCTGTCAATGTCTTACGTGTGTCTAAGGCACCGAGTGTATACATTGGTTTGGCTAGATTCCATTTGCAGCAAGCTTTTTAATAGGGCCTTTATTCATTATTTGTCTTATTAACTTTCTCATTTTATTTTTTCCATCACCATTTATCTTATAAACTCTTTAAGTAATTGTCAGGTGAAATTCTGAGATTCCAAAGTTGCATGCTTTTGGGACATTAATCAACATAGGAAAAATTCTGGAGGGAAAAAAATCTAGGAAGTATAACTGAAAATAGCAACTGTGCTTTAAATCTGTGAGCATAATTGTTTATAGCACATAAATCCTTCTAGAGTGATGTGATTCTAAAGCTTTTTACTTTGTGCTAGACACCACAGACACCAAGGAAAGTAAAAATACATAGGAAAAAATGTGCTACCGGTTTTTAAAAATAGGCAGAGGTAATTGGAAACGCTAAGTTCGCATTTTTCTTTATTAACCTTCACATTATCTGAATATTAATGACTTAATTTTAGAGTTTACTGATAAAAAAGTGGTAATTTTGAACTTTTTCCTTCTAATATCTTTGGACACTCCTGTACTAAGGGAGTTTCTGGCAAAACTTTTGACAAAATATGTTCTAATATTACTTGTTTGGTGTGTGGCTCTTTGTGGGGAGAGAGAAACTGGATCTTTTGGATGAGATTCCCAGAGTTTAAAACTTTGCTAAAGAGGCACAATTAAAAATTCAGACCAGTTTATTTTCAGTAAGATAGATATCTTAAAAGTGGAGACAGTACCTTCAAAGTTGCATTACAAGGACATTGGGAATGGTTATTCTATCTGGGTTACCAAGTACACAAATGTATTGTCTTAGAAAAATGAATAGTCTTTGAATATGAAGGGAGAATTATATACTTTTTAAAGCCATTTGCCTGCTTTCTGCATAAATAACCCACACCCATGTACACCCAGCAGTTGCTTGTGGATGGGACTTACATAATAAAACCTTTAACAGTTTTGACTCAAAGAAGTGTGTGTCCATCTGTGTTTGTCTTCTGCTAGGAATTTGATCCTGAAGAATTTTACTACCTACTGGAAGCAGCAGAGGGCCATGCAAAAGAAGGACAGGGTATTAAAACGGACATTCCCAGGTACATCATTAGCCAGCTGGGACTCAACAAGGACCCTCTGGAAGGTGAGTACCCTGGTGGGGCTGACCTTCCATTTGCTTATGCACTGTGAGCTCATGGAAGAACTTAGCGACAAACCTTTTCTTTTTCTTTTTTTCTTAAGTTTTGGCTCTGTCTCTTGAAAAGTCCAAATTTGGGGACCAATTGTGATTGAAGGAAACAGGTACAAGTTGAGCCCTGAGGAGCGAGTGAGCATGCCCCGTACCTTTGTGTTTACCTAGGGTACGGGGCCTGCCCTGAAATCCTAGTGACCTATTGGCTTGACAGTGCCCGTGTCCCAGGTTAGATTGCAGTCTTTCCCAGTATTTTTCTCTCGTGCAACGCTCAGTTGAGTTCTTCTCAAGGGTGCTTTTAATTTTGAAAATGTTGCTAAATAAATTAATTATAACTAATATAAAAGTGACATTTAAATTTAAAGTAATTTGGGGATAACTGATGATAGATTACTTCAAATCAGGAACAGTGTTGGTAGATATATATTGCTAAAAAAGACTTGAATTATCTATCTATAAGCCAAGTAAGTGACCAGAACAACCAGAATGACCAGTTGCTACGACATGCATTGCAGCCGGCCAACCCCCCTCAACCCCTCCCCCTGGCCACCTGGCCCCATCAGCCCCGATCAGGGCAGGCCAGCTGGCCCCCACCCATGCATGAATCCGTACACTGGGCCTCTAGTAGTAATATAAAAGAGAGTCGGGGGTGTATCTTAAAGCTTACATAAGGATTTATGATTGCTTCAGATAAAAAATACAGGTCTACTGCTATTAAATACAAAGAAGAGGAAGCATTCTCTTTGTGATTTTTTGAAAATCAAATATTAGGCAATAATTCCTCCCCTACCTTTTCCTGCTCTTGATTGTTTGGGATTGTCATTGAAAACCCTTAGGTTATATACTGTCTAAAAAGACTCACAATCATAGACTCCTTCATTCAACATCACCTTCCAGGTTCATTACCTTGAATTTGCAAACAGTATGTGTTTTGCTAAATTGTCTGTAGTGAAGGTAACTGTCAGCATAGGCATCTGTCCACGTGCAGCCAGGGAACCTGCTGCTCTCCACCCTGCTCCTCTGTGCGCCCCTGCTTTGTTTGCACTTACGGCCATCGGATCTTTGCTTCCAGGGAAAGGATGCATGCATTCCTGGGAGATAAAGCCAGGAAAACGTATACTGTACTGAAAGCAGTGCCATGACAGACTCAGCAGTTATCAGAGACTGGTGGCTGCTGCTCTGAAGCGTTCCCTGGGGAGAGATTTCCCCCATGGCTTTTAAATTACCATCGCTACCTTTTTGAATCATGAGTCTTCAGAAATGGTTTAAATCAATGAAATAAAAAGGGCAGATGTTTAATGGTATTTAGATGAGTTTTAAAAATCTCTTCAGGCATTACAAAATGATGCCTCAGGTTCCTGCTTCAAAAGCTGACTCTTGGTTCCATCCCATTACTACCCACTGCTTACAAATAATATGTGTTTCCCAGATAATAGTTATTTAGCAGAAATTCTATTTAAAACAGAACCATTTTTTAATTTGTTTTTTTATGAAAATAATTGGAGTGGGGGAGGCTGTCAAAGTAGATTATAGTGACTCTTCACGCTGGAGAAGTTGTCTGTGTCAGCCCTTGAATTGTAGACTCAGAGCTCTCAGTTTGCTTAGCTAAAGAGCAGTAAATAACACTGTAGGCTCAGCTTTGGTGGATAAATAACCTCAGGCCCATTTGCATACCTTCAGAAAGTCTAAAAAATTAATAATGATAGTTGACCAGTTTTAAGTTCAGTAATACAAATTGATCACTAGGAATTGTTTTTTTTAACTCTTGATTCATATCTGAGGATAGTTTTTAATCTATTATCACTCAAAATATGATTATTACAAACTGATCCACATTTTCTTCCCCTTCTTGTCTCTGTCTACACTAATATATCTGAAGCCTGACCTTTGATGGTGAGGAGTGAGGGTCTGGAGTGGGCCCACCCAGAACTGGGCCCTGGCAGCCAGCCTTGCAGGCTGTGTGACCTTGACTATGCTAAAGAGCCTGTTTGTGCCTTGGTGTTCTTTCCATAAAAATGGGGTCATAGTGGTGCCTATTCAAAGAATTGTTTTCAGGGTTATATAAGTTTATCTCTGGACCCAAGAGGTAGTAATGCTTAATGAATGTGAGCTGCTGTTACCATTTTATTTAAACCATATTACAATCGCCTCTTTCCTGGAAAGCCCCTCCAACTGAATACATTTTAGTTCACCTCCTTGTTCATAAATCTGAAATGCTAGTCACATAGGATGTTGACAGCATTTGAATGACATCAAGAAAGCATACAGTTTGTACTGAGCTCATTTTTATCCTTTATTCTCAGTTCCTACAGGGAAACTGAGAAAGTGAGTGTCAGTCTCCAGTTATTGTCAAATCTGGAGTTTATTTTTATCCAGAGGCAACATTTCACTGTTGTTTTGCTTCATATCTTTATGTGTAATCTTTCCCCCCAAAAGGGTAATTATATTTATAAGAACATAAATACATGAAATAAGAGCCTAAGAAATAATTTTAGATGCATACAGAAATATCCATCTAAAAACTGTAACCTTTTATTATACATGTTTAAGTTTGAAAATATTAGAAAATGCAAATTACCTGTGATCCTACCACTCAGAGATAACCCCTACCAAAGTTCGGGAGAAAATTCTTTCATGTCCTTTTTTTAATAAAACATGTTTTTTAAGTATAAAAATCTAAATGAACAGTAAACTGAATTAGATTTGAGTCTTCAAGGTTGCATCCCAGTGTAGGTTGAATAATTAGACAACTTTGTCTCTTTTATCCAGACCACCATGGTGAGAAGCTGGTGTTAAGCATGTGGCATCCAGCCCAGGATTAAGTACATAGTATACTCAGTAATATTAAATAACCATCAACAGTCAGTGAGCACTTAATTTTTGTTATTCAACATTCTTAGAGCTTCACATGCATTATCATAAAAGTAATACTCATAAAGAGCTCATCTACTGATGGACATTTGGGGTGCTATTAAAAACAATGCTGCCATGAATGTAGGGGTCCATATATATAGTATTGTTGCCATCTTACAGAGAAAGACCCCAAGGTTAGAAGGTCACTAGTAAGTGTTGATAATGGTGGTAACCCACATCTTTGCATCCCCAAGTCCCTCTTAACCACTTAGTATTACTTTTCTTTCTGACAAACTGCAAATTCTTAGTGTACTGAGTGATCTATCTCTTAGTGGACATGAAGGAATGGAAGAAGGGATACTAACTACAACTTGAGAATCACCTCTGAGCTGTAGTCAGTGCTTCTTTGATGCCTGTCAGAGACTGGGAAGACTTGCCTCTCTTGGATGTCTGATTATAAATAAGCACAGTCGTTGACCCCCGAACCGGTTCTAAGCTGTGGTGGTTGTGTTAGGCCAGCAGCTCTCAACCTGTGGGTCGCGACCCCTTTGGGGTTCGAACGACCCTTTCACAGGGGTCGCCTAAGACCATCGGAAAACACATATATAATTACATATTGTTTTTGTGATTAATCACTATGCTTTAATTATGTTCAACTTGTAACAATGAAATTGGGGGTCACCACACCATGAGGAACTGTATTAAAGGTTCGCGGCATTAGGTGGGTTGAGAACCACTGTGTTAGGCAGTGAATCCTGCTAGCTAAAGCAGAGGCCCAGATCTAAAGTACCTATGTCTAGGTGTTCATAAGAAATGAAGCTCCATGGGACTACATCAAACTAAAAAGTTTTTGCCAAGCAAAGGAAACCATCAAAAAATGTAAAGAGAACCCACCGAATGGGAGAATATATTTGCCAATGACACATCTGATAAAGATTAACATCCCAAACTTATAAAGAACTTATAAAACTCAACACACACACACACACACACACACACACACACACACACACACACACACACACACACACACACACACACACACACACACACACACACACACACACACACACACACACACAATCACACCAAACAATCCAATTAAAAAATGGGTGAAAGACCTGAAAAGACACTTCTCCAAAGAGAACATACAGATGGCCAATAGACATATGTAAAAAATGCAAATCAAAACGACAATGAGATATCTCCTCACACCTGTCAGAATGGCTGTCATCAATAAATCAACAAACATCATGTGTTGGCAAGGATGTGGAGAAAAGGGAACCCTCGTGCACTGCTGGTGGGAATGCAGGCTGGTGCAGCCACTGTGGAAAGCAGTATGGAATTTATTCAGAAACTTAAAAATGGAGCTGCTTTATGACCCAGTGATCCTACTTCTAGGAATATACCTGAAGAAACCCGAAACACTGATTTGAAAAACTATATGAAGCCCTATGTTCATAGCAGCATTGTTTTTAGTAGCACCCCAGGTGCCCATCAGTAGATGAGTGTATAAAATAGCCGTGGAACATTTACACAATGGAATACTAGCTGGCCAGAAAATAAAAGGAAAAAAGAAGGAAATCTTACACTTTGTGATAGTATGGGTAGACCTGGAGAGTGTTATGCCAAGTGAAATAAGGCAGTCAGAGAAAGACAAGTACCTATGATTTCACTCATATGTGGAATCTAATGAACAAAATAAACTAACAAAACAGAAACAGACACAGATACAGAGAACAGACTGGCAGTTGTCAGAGGAGGAGGTTGGGAGGCCGTTTGAAAAAGGTGAAGGGATTAAGAAAAAATAAAGCAAACAAAACTTAATGACACAGACAACAGTTGGTGATTGAAGGAGAGTTGACTTGGGATGGTGAACACACAATACAGTATACAGATGATAAAAAAAAAGAAAGAAAGAAATGAGGTTCCAGGGAAAGACTTGTAATGAATAATTTCCAAGTGTCAGTTGTTGGCTCTTGCCATTTTGAAGATTTTTCTATGGGTTCATTAGAACATAGAGTAAATTTTTCTTGTTTTTCGTATTGGAAAAATTATTTTTCTGTTGTTTCAGCATGTATTTTTGTCTAAATGCAATTGTCCTATTTTTCTTAAACTTTGCTGTTTGTTTGTTTTACCTTAGAAATGGCTCAGTTGGGAAACTATAATAGCGGGACAGCAGAAACACCAGAAACAGATGAATCAGTGAGTGTAAGTATCTTTCTTGATGAAATATGATGTTAGTTTTTCTGTTTATGGCATCTGGAGATTTAGGCTGTGTTAATTACTTTATTTGTTCAACAAATATTTATTTGCATTCCATGTGTAAGGCACTAGGCATAAAATTTTAGCTCCTCCCTTCAAAGAGAAAGGATCTTTGCTTCCAGTGAAGTGATGCATTCATTACTGGGAGATAATAAAATACAATTATGCAAAAACAGTTAAAATGATAAACTTGAATGAGATCTATGAAGAAAAAGGGCCATGTGCTACTAGAACATAACATGAAGAGATTTACCTCCGTCTTGAGAGTCCCAAAAGACACTTGTGCTTGAGATGTGAGGTGTTACTAGGATAAGCAAGGGCAGAGGGAACATGGCAGGCTGAGGGAACATCACAGGCAAAGACTGTGATGCAAGGGAGCAGAGTGCATCTGAGGACTAAGAGCAAGGGGCACTACAGAGATTGGAGAGGTTGGTTAAGAAGAGACTCAGAAGTCCTTGTTCGTCTTTTGTCAATTGTTTTCTTTCAAAACAATGGAAAGTAATTGAGTTTTGGAGGAAATATATGGGTATGTGGGGTGGAGGGAGTCACAGGGAGATGACCCAATCTGCGTTCCAGCTTGAAAGAAATCACACGGATTACAAGGAGCAGGCAGGGGTGACCATGGGAAGCCAGTGTAGAGGCTGATGCAGCACCCAGGTGAGAGGTCCCGGATGCTCTGCACCAGAAGAGGAATCAGGTGGAGCAGGCTGGGGTGATCAGGAAAGAGGAGCAGCCATGTAACCTAAGAATCAAGGCTCTGGAGTCAAACTGCTCGATGTTAAACCTGGCTCCACCTCTTACAACTGTGGGTTCTCTCTGTGCATCAGGGGGTTTTTTTGTTTGTTTATCTGCAGAGTAGATAGAAAAGTTTAAAGGAGATAGTTTGTGTAAAATGGTTAGGACAGTAGCACTAAGTTAACGTTAAATGAATGGTAGCCTTTTCTGTTTATTTTATTATAACTGTCATAATTTTGAATGTTTTGAGACTGAAGTCCCTCTGAGACATCCAAGAAGAGCCTTCAAACTAGCAGCTATGTACAGGGTGTAGTATCCTTTGGCGCTTGGAGGAGGGGTTTTAGGTAGAGGTTCGAATGACTTAGGAGACATTCATTGGCATAAATGAGGTCACTCTCGGGTAGGGAAGAGTTAATGAGACAAGTTGGCCCCAGTCTTGAATTATATTTTCTGAAATGGGGCATTGGCAGGTGATGGCTAGATCCAGGTCCTGTGGCCAGAGGCCAAGGGAAGATAGAGGAGAGAGTTGGTTGTTTGAGTTGAGGAGGTCAAGTAGCCCAGAGGCCAGGATGCTATGTGAGTTATCTGTGTAGACACTGAAGGCACCCAGATGGTGAGAGAATGTGGGCAGAAAGATAGGTTGGAAGCTGAGTATCCAAGTCTTGCAAAGATGAGTGGATGACAGGGTCAGCAATGACAGCTCTGAATGGGGGAGGATGGCGTTTCTTCTCAGATTATAGGAAAGGAATTCTGGGCTCTGCAATAGTAGCCAAGAGGCTGGTAACACCCTCTCAATGCTAAGGATACATGGAGTATGAGAAAACAATTTTTTAGCAGCACTTTTTTTGTTCTTATCCTTTGAACTAAACTTTTAAAGAGCTCTCTTTTTGAACACTAAGATTAAACTATAGTAAGATTGATGGTATGGAATTAGAGAAAGGCAGACACTCTATGTTTGGGTGTCCCATTGGTTGCCGACAAGGACAGCCACTCTAACCTGCTCTTTCCTGGCCAACTGAAGCCAGAGGAACTTGAAATCTCAAACTTTAAAAGACTAGGATGAGGCTAACCTGAATAGTTAATAGAGGTGAATTAAAATTGGGAATTTTCAAACACTTGGTGCCTTCAGCTCCTGGAAATGTGGGTGCACTTAAGTGAAACTTAGACACTGCTCTAGAAAATTGATCTTGGAAGCTGTCCTTCAGGTTCCTGTGCTAGCATATGGCTCTTCAACATATTAAACAACAGGGCATGTAATTAAAATATTATTGATTTGGCTATGGTGCTTGAATTCTCAACTATTTTTTAACTTCCATATTTTGTTTCCAAGAGCTCAAATGCTTCCCTGAAACTTCGAAGGAAACCTCGGGAAAGTGATTTTGAAACGATTAAGTTGATTAGCAATGGAGCCTATGGGTAAGTAATTAAAGAAAACTCTGTTGTATTTTAACGCACTAAAGTACTGTATTCTTCACCTTTATCTTATGTCAAATAGCTGTTGTATAGGGACTTTAGTTTTTACATCTCTGCTCATTCATTGATGGGTATAACATGTAGCCAAAATCATTTTTCATTGGATACGCCATCAGAAAACATATCAGGTGGCCTGAGAGTTATTTTAGAGGATCCGAGAGGATGAATTCAAAAGTAAAGATTTATAAAGTAAAAGAAATTTTGTATATATGCCTGTTTCTGCCTCCTTTACTCTGCCCTTTTGGGTTCAGAAGTAACTGTCTCTTGGTTGATATAGATATATGTATGAATATATGTTTGGATACTCACACACATACATACCCAGATATAGTATACTAGAGTCCCGGTGCACAAATTTGTGCACGGGTAGGGTCCAGCCAACCAGCCCCAGTTGGGGCTGATTGGGCTGGGCCAGCCAGGGGGAGGGGCTGCAGGTGGTTGGCAGTCCGGCCCTGCCCCCTGGTTGAACTCCTAGTCGAGAGGACAATTTGCATATTACCCTTTTATTATATAGGAGGATATGTATCTGAACATATATATTAGCATCTGAACAAGAATAAATGTTTGAACCCTTTTATTATATAGGAGGATATGTATCTGAACATATATATTAGCATCTGAACAAGAATAAATATGTTTGAATATGTATAAATTCACATATAGCATTCCTACTTGAGAATTAGCCAGTACTTCCTCTCTGACCAGCTCTCAACCTATAGAGAAGTATTTAGATAAAAAGGTTGGTTGAAAATTGAGAGCAGTACATTTCTTTGAGTCTTTATATTGCACCAGGATTGTGTTTCAGTTGAACACTGTGTTATATAATCTGATGACATTAGTGGTCCCGCTTCCTTAATCCATTTTTATAGACACGAGACTTTACTCTCATGGCAAAGGGCCAATAGTGACAGGATCCTTCTGAGTTTCTAATAAATAGTTTAAAAGGGTAATTAATACACAAACTATGTCCTGATCCATTTTAGATGGCCCAAGAACTCTAGTTTAATTAAGTATTAATCCCAGTTCCATCTGTATATGGAAAGCAATAAACAATCTCCTAGACATTTATTGCCATTTATCACACAAGTGAGCAGATGAGATAAAAGTGATTGTTGTTGTGCCACAAGGGATGTTTCTCCTTACAATTTTTTTTTTACCTCTAATATTTTCCACACCATTAATTTAGAGAAGAACTTAAATATTTGTGGTCTTTCCTATGCTTCACTGATTTGCTTTCAGGATATGTCATATCCTGATGTGGCTTATAAATGCTCTCTTGTGAGGTTTGTTTGTTTGGGGGATACTTTATGTCCTTCAAGAATCTCATTGAAACTTTTCAACTTAAGAAGATTATTTTAGCATGCAGTTATTTGTGGGTTTTGTTTATTATTTGTATTTCTTTTTAGTTTTGGAGACCCTATGAGGATTTCTTACTTCATTGGAGAGAAGGCTGGACTTTGATTTAATGGGCCGATGGTTTGAGCACTGCTAGGTTTAATTGGCAGTGGAATTCTGCAATAAGATGATCTGTGAAGCACCGTTTTTATAAAACGTGGGCATAGATCTTAGCAGTATTTGGAGTTCTAATTGGTTGAGTAAACTCATTTGTAGTGCAGTTAAAGCACTGTATAGTAGATGAGGTATATCACACTTTGGGCAATGGCTGGGAATATACAAGAAGTTAAACAAGCTAGGAATCAGTAAACACCCAGGATGCAGGCCAAGTCGTTAATGGGCTCACACGCTGCCTGCAGGAGCCTCTGCCAATCAACTGAAACTTTCTTTCCTCTTTGGCTCTTCTCAGATTTAATCTCTCATTACTTTTTTGACAGATTTCCTTTAAGTAATAATTATTTCTCATTTGAATTTGAATGGAGCTACGCCCATTGGTCCACCCAGTCAAAGTGCTGGCTGCAGGCTTCCCTGGCTGCTGAACAAGTGGACCCTCTGTGGGAGGCTTTCGTAGGCATCTCTGTGACAGTGTCGCGTTCACGTCAGTGACTCGCAGTGACACTGATTTTGAGAACTGGTTGTGCGGAGAACTAATCCTCTATTAGGACGAGCTTCTTCCTACCTGTCATGCTAAAGCACGTCGTGGTTTTCTCCACATCCTGCTCACTGACAATTCATATCACAAAGCCAACTTGCTGATTTGATAAGCATCTGATTTCCTTCTCTATTTAACGTTTCGGATGCCTGACTGGAAATTAAACATCCCTGCATGCCAGTGTGGCACTTTGTAGAGAGCTAGCACTCAGTGTGTGCCTCATCGTCCAGTTACCTGATCTATGTTGTCTCCCACAGGAGCCTGTGGGCACTTGATGTTACTTCCTCTTGGCTGGGGCGGGAGGGGCTCGGGCAAGGTCAGGGGCACTGACCCTACGCAGCGCTCTTTCCTGACAGGAGGTGTTCTTGTGCTATAACCTCTGGGCATCTTAATTGGGGTGTCGAGGTCTTCAGTTGAGCACTTGCACTTGGATTTTTAAATTACAACTTTGAATGTTTTTAAAGTGAAAGCATAAAATTGACTAAAAATTCTAAAGAGTAAAAAAACATTAAGCTTGAAAGGCACAACGTTTCTCCCCCACTTTGCTTTCCTTCTAGCCTTGACGCAGTTGTTCTCTTAACCTCAAAGGCCAGGAGGTGTGCCCTGTGACAGGTGCCCCGTTGCCGCACACTCTCTCCCCCAGCCTTTCCTCTCAGCTTTCCTCCAACACATGCACTCCCATTCCCACGTGCAGCTTTGCTTGCACAGACTCATGTGCTGGGCTCTCGGATTCAGGCATAATTTTATACGCATCAGACATTCACACTCCCGATAGGACAGATTCATTCTGCTCCAGATCCTGTCAGCCTCTGATTCTAACGGTGGCACGGAGCTTGACGCAGAGAGAACCCAGGCCCCAGGCACCCCTGCTCCCTGCATCACCTCCCTCCCTTGAATTTTTCTATTTCACAGGGAGGTCAGTGTAGGAAAAGAGAGAGAGAGAAGCAGCCTTTTCAGGGAAAACCACCCTGGGAGCCAAAAAGCAAAGAGGTGTGGGGCTGAATCACTTCACTCCAGTTTTATCATCTAGGGAGGTATACAGCTCTGCTTAGCAGTGTTAGATGTCTGTCTTTTGGCTGCTATCTGCCTCTCTTTGTTTCTCTTTTTCAATCTCTCTCTCTCTCTCTCTCGCTCTCTCTCTCTCTCTCTCTCTCTCTCTCTCTCTCTCTCCTTACTTACTTAAAGTAGACTTGGAACCTTGATTAACGAGAAAGGTGTATGTGGAAGATAGCAATTATTACTAAATAAACAGATGTCAGCACTAAGAAATAATATTCCGAAAGCAGGACAAACATGTAAAAATGGAGAACGTAAGACAAAAGAAATTCTAATTAAGAAGTCTAGTTGACTTTTGCAACTTGATCAAGATATGTGTGTCCTGAGGCAGAGGTAGCTCAAGCTACCTAGAGGATTAATTTCACTTGGTTTACATCAATTTCCTAAGGATTAGCTGATCATTGTAAGCACATCATAGCAAGGGGAAAGCAGGAAGTCAAATCAAACGTTATGAACTCAAAATCTGAGAAGAAAGGTTGCAGCAGTTTTTCACACAGTGCCACCAAAATCCTAGCCTGGATGGCGGTCAAGTAGGGCCTGGGGCAGCATTCTCTTCTGTTCTTTCATAAAATTGTGTACAGCTCCATCCTTCTTCCCCTGCTTCCTGTTGCTCTCAGACATACTGCTGAACAGTTATTCATGTGAGAAATGGTGATGCTTGACAGAAAATCAAAATGGCAGCCTCCTGAGAGGCCAGCAGTGGAGTTAGCGATGTCATATGTCTGGGTCCTCAGCACCGAGCCTGCTCAGTACTAAATATTGAAAGGAGAGGGGGAAAGTAAGCGCTATTCCAATCACTCTCCTGGATAGGCACGTGATAAGGATACTATCTTTCTTTTAACATTTTGAGTTCCAAATTTCAAGTAACTATTTCAAAAACTCCTCTTCATGGCAACGTTTGTTTACCGGTGCTTGTCTTACATCGAGGGGAAGGCCAAGTTATTTCCTAGGCTCCCTTGCATCTGCCTGTCCTGCTCCCAGCATCTGTGTAGGAGAAGCTCAGGTTTTCTTTGGATTTTGAATTTATTCAATCAGTAGTTGAAAAAAGAAAAGCTTTTCATCTGATTTAGAAAGAATGAGTAGTGGGTTGGTTAACTAAAAAGTTGGTCAAAGTAGGAAATCATTAATAAATGATATGTACTTTAAACATTTTAATTTAACCTAAATATATGCGAATTTACTAGTCTTTTGATGTAAGGCCTTTTTACGACAGCCACTATAAACACTTATACGTTGTCTCTGTTTTCCAACTTAAACTTCTTTAAAGATGAAGAACTTGAGCCATCTGAATGTAAGAATCTAGATTTTTATTGTTTTCTTAACTTTTGGAAATCTTTTCACCCATACTAAAGCGATAGGAATTATATTTAGTAACTCACTTTCCAAAACATTCTACTTAATCTATATAATAAAAGCCTAAATGACCATTACAGCGGAATGACTGGAACAACTGGTGGCTATGATGCGCACTGACCACCAGGGGGCAGACACTCAACACAGGAGCTGCCTCCTGGTGGTCAGTGCGAGTGCTGCTCAGCCAGAAGCTGGGCTCACAGCTGGCAAGCGCACTACCGAGTGGTGGCAGCAGGCACAGCAGATCAGAATGAGCATGAGCGGCACGGCACCCGGCCTTGACTCGGACTCCTCCCTGGCCACCTGCTGACCTGCAAGAGGGATGTCCGACTGCTGGTTTAGGCCCTAACCCGGTACTGTTCTCTGTAGAAGGCAGTCAGTCTGAACAACTCAGTGACTCAGGGAAGTGCAGGGAACTCAGGGTGAGCCTGCCTCCACACTTGACTTACCCACTCGACAGACCATGGTGGCCCAGCCCATACACGTGCAGCAGCTGCTGAGACTCAAGCAGCAGGTCATGCAGCAGTAGAAGGTCATCCAGCTACAAATGGGCAGGCAGACATCCCCCAAGGAGCCCCAGACTGTGAGAGGGCATAGGCCAGGGTGAGGGACACCCCCTACCACCACCACGTGCACAAATTTCGTGCACCGACCTCTAATTTTCTTATAAACAGCGATGCTTTTCCTTCTCACCCTCATGTTTCATCTGTCTAAATATTTTTTTACATTAGTTAATCATGATATCAAGCCTAGACAGAAAAACAGGTATGGAAATCAGCTCAGCTGGTGGGAGCCTGGCTTTGGAGGCATCCTGACGTGGTCCTAGCCCACGCAGAAAGCATGAGCACCCAGTGGGTCAGCTTCCGTGTCAGGGTGTTATGCTGTGGGAATAACAGCACCAGGTTATGCCTTAACATAGTTATGTAGAGTGTGGTTAAGAGTGCTTTAAAGAAAGTAAAGGAAGAAGTAGAATACCAAAGAAATGATGAGAAAGAAAAAAAGGAGTAAAGAAAATAAGTAATGTTTAAACAGAGACCCAAAAAATGGGATTTTGTGAATGAAAGGAAAAGATGGATACAAAGAGAAGACAAAAATAGAGATACACATACTTGAAAGAAAAATGAATTCCTGGTGAACAGTTAAGGGGAAAATGGGAGCTTTGATTAAACCTAAGTGGAATATACTTAAAATTTATGTCAGTGGACCATCCTGTTGTATGGGCTAAGCAGGAATATAGGGTGTCTTAGTCCCCTATATTCATTTCTCAGACAGCAAAAATAACTAGTGGAAAATGCATCTCAGAACAGATGACCCCTAGTTTTAGGAGGCGGACCATTGGGTATATCTTACTGTGATTGATTGCTTTTAGGTAAATAACTACTTATTTGGTCATTGCATTTGTTGCAGGTTAGCCTCATTATAGCCTATTACACAAGTCTAATGACTGATGGCTCTTTGGGTAAATTATTACTTATCTGAGCATTACCTAACCTGGGAGTTCAAATCTGTTCTCCCACAATAATGACACGTGAGGAGAAACGAATGAGAAAGGAAGTTAGTCCAAGGCATTTTCCTCGTTGCTCGCCATTTCCAGGTGGGATTTTAAGACTCCTCCTAATTATTCCTATTCTCTACAACATTCAAAGCCTCAGGGAGTCCAGTGCAAGGTCGTGGAATATGGGGAAGGTCATTCAGTCCCTGCTGTGGAGTATTTAAGTGAGACTTTTGGCACAGATTCAACGCAGCCTACAAATTTTACCTTAAAGTTGCCTGACACCTTGGCCAGAGGTTGGATGGGGCAGCAGTCACTGTAGTATGGCCTCCTTTTGTGTTGGGAAATGCATTTTCTGTTGAACCAGGCACAGGTGTTCCTCGTGGCAAGGTTTGCAGTGAGGAAATATACTAATCTTTGCTGCCAAACAGCCTTAGTTGACCTATGATACACTCCTCATTTATCTGGAAATTTCATGGGACGTAAATGTCTCTCAAGTTGGAAGGTAACTACTCTAAAAAGCGATGCTCCTTTTGCAGATTCCAAAGGTATCACATAGGAAATATTTGCTGTAGTCAGTGGAGGAAATATGCCTAACAGGTTTCTAATGTTAGGAAGGATCTTGCTCTCAAGGTCTGTATGCTCTTCTGTTAATTCTCTCCTGTTCTGACTTCTATATTGGATTTTGTTTTGTTTGTGGAACTGAAAACATCAGGTAGCTATTGGAAAACAGCCCACTCTGGAGACATTTCCTTCCTTCAGCAGTGAAGATGGATTTGATGTCTTATGTATGACCTGTGATCTTTATTGAAGGAATTTTCTTAAAAAATCAATCTAGCCAAAGGCTCTTGGCCTGGGGCGGATGTTGGTAGCAGCCAGCCTGGCTTGTGTGAGTTGAACTCCGCCTGGCGTGTGAACTGAAACAGAGTACCTGATCACATGGTTTCTGTACTCAGAAGCACCCCGTCTTCCTGTGAACCCCAACTCTCATGCTCCTTTTCAGGGCAGTCTACTTTGTCCGGCATAAGGAGTCCCGGCAGCGCTTCGCCATGAAGAAGATCAATAAACAGAACCTCCTTCTCCGGAACCAGGTCCAGCAGGCCTTCGTGGAGCGGGACATCCTGACGTTTGCGGAGAACCCCTTTGTGGTCAGCATGTACTGCTCCTTTGAAACGAGGCGCCACTTGTGCATGGTCATGGAATATGTGGAAGGTAAGGCAGTCTGACACGGAGAACGTGACCCCTGGGCCCAGAGACGCCTCGCTCATTGGTGTGGCTGAAGCTCTCTGTATTTGGGTGACATTATAGCTGTGTTCATCCAGGAACCGGAGCCAGGCAAGGAGATGGATGCATCCCCGTCATTATCTTGTGATAATTGCTTTTAAGGAGCCTGCTCTATTATAACAAAGGGGAAATTAGTGTTACTAGTATTTGGGAAAAGATTGTTGTTCCTTTTTAATAGCTTTTAATTCTTATTATCTCCTCTCAATTGGTCATTAAATTTAGAATATAGGTGATGAGAATTGTTTCTACTTATTTTTACCATATATCATAACAGCATTCATCACAATTGATCTCTTAAAGAATTAATTAGAAGTACATCCTTTCTACACTCTCCCTCCAGGGAGCATGCCCCACCTTT